TTGTTTTTGTTTTTTTCTTTTTGTTTTTTATTGTTTTTTTTGTTTATTGTTTTTTTTTCGGCGCGAGGTGGCTTGGCCTCCGAGCCCAACTCGCAGAGGGCTGCGGGGCGGCGGCGGGTCTGCCCGCCCCCGTGGTCCTGGTGCCCTGTCGCCCAGGTGCCCTCCCGCCCCCACCGCTCGAACCGGCCTCGACCAAATCCCCATTCCCAGGACTGATGAGCCGAAGCGCGGGGACAGTCTCAGGAGCGCGCTCTCAGAAACGGAGGGCGTCCTCAAGATCGGCATCGAGAGCAGGGAATGCCACTCACGGGGGCAGGGGCCTGTCGCCGCGCCGTCTGGTCTGGTCTGAACGCGCCCCAGCAGACGAGACCGACGCCGCGGCAAACCCGCGGAAAGCCTTGCGCCCGAGACGGCGTTTGCCCCGGTGCCCGACGCGAACTCCCCGAAGCGGAAGGCCGCCGTGGGAGCAAACAGCGCGGCGACATCTCTTCCCAGGGTGGTAGCGCTTCCCCGGCCGCCCGCCCCGCCTCCTGCTGGCTCCGCCAGCCCCCGCGCCGGGCCAGGGGGGCTGCGCCGCATGCCAGCGCGCGTCGCTGCGACGCGCCAGCGGGAAGCAGGGCGACGGCCTGGGAGACGACGCGGTGGGGATCAGAAGGGTCGGGGGTTCCCGAGAGCCGGCGGATCTGGAGGACGTGCCGTGCGCGGCGGCCATCGCAGAGCGCTCTAGGCCCAGGCCCGCGTGAGTCCAGGCAGGCAGACGGACGGCCGCTGGGGGACCCTTGTTCAGTAGACACGTACGATAAGAACACCTATTTTTCTATTAAGCAGCGTTGAGGACCGCTTCGTGAGCCGTTCACTCCGAACCACTCGAGCGCCTCGCTGTCACGCCCCAGCGTGACCCCACAAGTGGGTAGTGTGCAGCTTCCCGATCAGAACGGAGAGCGGGGCTCCGAAACGTGACAACAACTCCCCCCCTCGTTCTGGCGACTCCTGGCCAGGTACAGGTCGCGCAGAACATCTCAAGATGGCTTCAGATAGCACCAGACGTGTGCAGCAGCATCAGTATCTGTCTACGTCGGGGAAAACGGTGCGATAATGTTGATCTGCCCCCTTTAACCCCTCAGTGATTTGTTGATTTCAATAATGACTTCATGCACGTACAAAGCCGCTCCATGCGCTCACTGTGGTCTTCGTCTCGCGGGCGACAAACGGCAGGCGTGCGCAGACCGTGCCAGATGCCTTCAAGGCCTAAGAGCAGATCGATCTCGTCAATCTGCCACTCGATTCTGCTCAAAGTCCGCTTCTCGACGGGGAGCGCGTCTATGCAAGGCAGACTGGCCATGACGTCCGCCCGCGGCCCCGGAATCCTCGTGAGCGTTCATGCTGGGAGTCCCGAAACGGTGCGGTGAGGCACTGGGCGGCGACCCCGGGATTTTTCTGGCCGGGCAAGGTTTCCACTCAAAGCCCCCCAAAAGGGTCCGCGGAGGGGCTCGCGCGAATCCCATCCTGCACTCACGAACGACAAAGGGATCCACGGCAAATCAGTAAGCCCCGAACCAATCTGCTACCACTGATGCTGCAATACCTCGCCCTCTGCTGTAGCGGCGGCTACACCCGGAAAGCCCACCGCAGCGCCTGCGCGAGAAAGACATCACCGCTCCAAAACGCCAGCGGCCCTGAACTGCCGATTTTTCCGTGGACGCACGCAACCGAACATTGCAACGAAAAACTGGCCACGAACCTGTTGCGCCGCGGCGTGCGCGGCGCCGGCCACGGGGGGGACGAAGGCTCGAATGGCGAAGTGATGCACCTCATGCTGCGTTCCTGCGTTTCGCCCCCGTCTTCCTGACCTCGCGCAGACGCCGCCCGACGGATGACGCCCCTGCGTGGCGAAAACCGCACCTGCAACGCGGCGAACTCAACATGTTGGAACACATCAGACAGCCGTTTAAATTTCATCCGGTAGCTCTTGTCGGGGGGCCGTGCCGTGCTGAACCGACTCCGACCCGGGGGGGTCAACGACGCGGAGCGCGGCGGCGGCTGACGACCGTGACGGGCGTCGCCGGCACTGGCCAAGACGGGGGCCGGGACAGGGCGTCACGATATCCCGGAAATGTCACCGCACACTCGTCAACCCACCGTCGCTCGAGACACCCTCCAAAAACGCCCGAGTTTCGAAACCGGGCGGTGGCCCGTTTCAACTTTCTTCAGGATTCCGTGCTGGCGGAACCAGGGGTGCGGAGCAAACTCCCGCGGCGGCCCATGGCCACCCCCCAGGAGGTGGCAGGGCCAAAAGGGGCGCCTGAGCGACCGACTGGGCGCGCCGCGACGGGGGCATGCGCCGTCGTGACGCATGCGCTTCGTCGCTTTGCCCTTCCGGCCACCGCCGTTGCCGTTGGATGCTGCTCGCTCTGCTCTTAGGAAGGGGAAGACGCCGAAGTGGAGGAAACTGGGCGAGGTGGAGGAGAAAGGAGGAGGAGGAGGAGGAGAGGAGAGGAGAAAGGAGGAGGAGAGGAAGGAGGAAATAGGGATAGAGGAGGAGATGGGGGACGAGGGAGACAAAGAAGATGAGGTTTTTGTAGGCTCCTCGAACTTACGTTGCATATCCAACCGCCGAACAGAGGGCGCCCCAGGATGAGCGCCAGAGTGCTCTCGCAACGCGCGCCAGCGTGCCCGCTGCGGTCACGCCCAAGATGTCGCCGCACTACAGCGCCAGAAAAACGAAACAGACAAAACCATGCGCGCATGTCGGGCGTCAATCTCGCGCGTCAAGCAGTGCGCCACGGACCAAACAAGATGCGCGTGCGGGGCCAAGCGCGAAGTGCCTGAATCCCGCGCTAAATGCGGCCACTGGGGTCCAAGCTGCGCGAACGACTGATCCATCAAATGCGCGCCAAACTCGCCGCGCCGTGCTCTCACCGCGCCGTTTTGGGACTTCCGATCATTAGCGCCGCGCTGAATGCCGTAATCCGGAGCAAATTCAGATGGGCGTGTGAAACTCTGATAATCTCGTCTACGTAGGCGATGGACAGCGAGCCGTGCAAGAGGGACCTCAGCATGTTCCGAAATGGAACGTATACCTACGGCATCGTGCCATACAGCCTCAGTGATAGAAAACAGTCACCCAGACTCTCAGAAGCACTGCGGTCTGCTTCAACCAAGTGTCGATGGTGCAGTGCTCGGGGCCACAGGGTCCACGTAATCAATCTCAACCATGGGTACCATGGCGAGACGATGGAGCAAAAGTATTTTACGAGGTACCTGATGAGGGCGAAAGAGCTAAGGATATGTGCACTCACTTGCACCCGCGCCTCACGCCCTGCAGCCAGCCGCCCGCGGCGCCAGCCGCCCGCGGCGCTAGCGGCGGCGCGCGCTGGGGCCACGGGCCCGCGAGCGCCGAGGGGCCACACATCGCGCACGGGGCCAGGCAAATGGCCGCCGTCATCGGGGGGGCGCTGCGGCGAGTGAAATCATCGTGACTCGGCGAGAATCACCCCTAGGCCGTAGGGTGGCCAGCTTGTTCCAGAGTGGCCTAATACGATCGGAAATATTGCTGTAAACAATCTAGGGGCACGCTTGACGTCGAGCTTCGAGCTTCCTGAGGTGCCCCATGGCCTCTTTGGGCCACCATGGGCATCAAAAAAGATACGAAACTTTCGTGGGGCACCTGCTGGCATGCCAATTTCTTGTCCATGTGCCTCCTGTAGGGACTCGGAAGTCTTTGAACCTTTCCGTTAGTTCCTGGAGGTTTTCGGGGCCCGATGCGTTTTCCAACCACCCCGCCTCGTTGAGAGACCTCCGAGGATGCTGGAATCCTCCCGGTCGGCCTCCTGGGGCCCGAATCACGGCCAGAGAGTCGACGAGGAGGGGTAGTGGCGACCCAGACGCCCAGCGTCCTGAACAGACAAGGCGCCTGCTATCTCTTCGAATTGAAGCCTGATGAAGCCTCTAGGGGCCCGTTTCGAGCCCGTGGGCCCACAGAGCAACGCATAGCGCGAATGGCACAGACAGGGTACTGGGTTGGAGCGGGCCTTAAGCTACGCCAGCGTGCTGGCACGATGGCGGAATTTGCCGCATGCAGCTGGATACCTGGCCGGGTTGTCCACATTCCCCCGCCGCCGTGCAGCTGTTCATCTCGATCCCCCTCCTCCATCCTCCCTCACGAGGGAGGACGGGCAATGGAATGGGAGATAATCGGATCGGTGGTTGTAACGAGTCTCCTGGAGTTCGCGTGGGGCACGAAGCAAGGGCCAACGATCCGGAGGGCATTTCTGCAGCAGCAGAAAATTCAAACGACCCGTGCCCAGAGGAGAGAGGAAGGTTCCCCTAGAAGTCGCCCCAACACAATACCCCAATGCCTCTCCCTCCCTCCTCCTCCGCCCTCTGTCCTCCTCCTCCTCTTCCTCCTCCTCCTCCTCCTCCTCCTCCTCTGCCCTCTGGCACTGCACAGACCACGCGCAATGCCGATTTTTTGTTCTTCCTCTGCCCTCCTCCTTCTCCACCGCATCACTGATCCTTCTCCCTGCCCTTCCTCCCTCGCTCCTCCTTCCTCCTGTTCTGTCCTCGGAGGACGAGTAGGGCGGAGGAGCGCCGTCGTCGTTGCCGCCGCCACCGCCATCGCCGCCGCCGCCGGCGCCGGCGCCGCCCTCCTCGTCGTCTTCGCCACCGCAGCCGCCGTCGTCGCCGCGCTTCGCCGCCGTCTCTCGCCGCCGCCGGGCGGGAGCCGCAGATCTTGCGAGGAAAGGAGGATGAGGACGAGGAAAGGAGGAAAGGAGGAGGAGGACGAGGAAAGGAGGAAAGGAGGAGGAGGAGGAGGAGAAGGAGGAGGAGGAGGAGGAGGAAAGGAGGAAAGGAGGAGGAGGAAAGGAGGAAAGGAGGAAAGGAGGAGGAGGAGGCTGCCGCTGTCTTCGTCTTTCGCCTTCCGCCTTCCGCCGCCGTCGAGCAGCAGCAGCCTCGGCAGCCGGCCGGCCGGCGGCCGGCGGCCGCCGCGCCGTGGCCGCCTTGGCGGTGCCGCGCGCCGTCGAGGAGCGGCGCCTGCTCCGGCGCGACCTGGTGCCGTCGTCGGGGCCGCGCGTCCTGCCCCGCGGCCGCCCCGCGTGGGGCAGAAATGCCGCGGGGGGCGGGCCCGCGGAGGCGGCGGAGGGCGAGGTGCTGGACGGCGGGGGACGCGAACGGGGCGAAGCACGAGGAGGCGCGTCGCGGCGACGGCGTCGCCCGGGGCCGTGGGGGCGGGGCTCTTGGGGCTGAGATGCCATGGCCCAGCACGGGGCGAAGCACGAGGGGAGGCGCGCCGGTGCTGGCCAAGTGGGGATGGGGATGGGCTAGACGATGCTGAGGCTTGGGGAGGAGGTGGAGGACGAGGTGCTGGAGGGTGGAGGACGTGCACGAGGCGAAGCACGAGGAGGCGTGTCACGGCGACAACGTCGATCGGGAGTACGACGAGGAGCACGATGAGGATGAGGCGTGCCAAGCGTCCGAGGACGGGCCGAAGGCGAGGGAGCTGGGGCGGGGCAACTGAGAGGACACGGAAGATATCACAGAGGATGTGGTAGCGGACAAAGACCAAAACGACGACAACATATGGATATTCATCGAGATTGGCGCTGAACAGATCGAATAATAGAACACATGTTCTATCTCAGAATTGCCGGCATCCGGTAAACTCGAAGGTTTGCGTATACGCGTAGCTGGGAAGCACGAGACAATCAACGCAACATCGACCATTGCCCACACACAACGACAATACTAACACGTCGTCAATATATATATATATATATATATATATATATATACACGACAAGTATAGACATGTGAATGTTGGAATGGACGGCACCATCTGGCAATTGGACGCTCTTGAAGACGTGCAAGGCTCCCTGCGGCTGGCACCCGCTCCAGGGCCTCAAGAAGCTCGAGACGAGGCACGGCGACAACTACGATGGCGAGGCGCTCAGCAGGACTCGTGCGCGGAGGCACCACTGGGGCAGGCGCAGCACGCGCTGCCCAAGCGGCGCGCCCGCAGGCGAGAGGCACGACACCGAGGAACGACGCCACTGCCGACGAAAGCCACCGCGTCGACGGGGCGCAGCAGACTGGAAGCCAGCTGCGGCACCTACGACAGCCACGACGCGGCAACCACGGCTTTCACGGTGGCGAGGCGAAGCAGGCCAGAAAGCAAGCTACGGCGCCACCAAAGCGCAGCATTAGCAGAAGGCGACAGACTACGAACTCGACTCTCAGGGATTCGCATGCGTTGAGTCTCCAGCTCCAGCAGCAACGGAACGGCGTCTACGGCATGACCCACCGAAAAACGATGCCGGTACCAATACAGTATTACGACTTCAGCTGCACTGGCAAGGGTGGTGCCGCAGAGAGAGAGAGGGGGAGACGATGAGGTCGAAGACGACGGCGGCGGCGACCACGGATCGACGACGACGGCGGCGACTGCGGAGGATGTAAGGAGGATCATGAGCCATATGGGGGAGGGGTGGAGGGGGGTAGGGGGAGTGGGAGGAGGGAGGGGGCAGGAGGGGAGAAGGAAAGAAGCGCGGGGGGAAAGGGGTCGGAGGTAGAGGGTGAGGAGATGGGAGGACGGATCGAAATGGGGAGGATGGGAGAAGGGATGGAGGGAGGGGCAGGAGAACTTAGGAGGAGAGGGGAGGAAGGAAGAGGGTAGAGGAGGGAACGAACGAACCACCAATGCTGACCATCGTCCGGGCCTAGCTGAGCCCAGGTGTGGGAGGCCGTGGCCTTTTGGAGCTGGTGCGCATGGAATTCGAACACGTAGGAGGGGGGATAAGGGGGGAGGGGGGGATGGGGGGAGGGGGAGAGGCAATCGATGGAGGGGAGGGATGGGGGGTAGAGGGGAGGGAAGGATCGGGGTTGGCTGTCCTGCGGTGCCAGAGCCCCGACCCCCGCGTTGCTGCTTCTCCTTCCTCGCGCTTCGCTGCTACCGTTGCCCCACCCGGTCTTCTCGCTGACGTTGGCGAAATCGTCGTCGAGAATCTTCCGCATGAGGAACAAGAACTCCTGGGCACGGCGCGCATCCTCTTCCCAGATGCCGCTGCTCTTCCCTCGAGGTCCTCGTGGCCTTGCTGTGGGCGGTATGGGCATCACAGCAGGCTCCTCCTCTCTATTCACCCGGGAGGTCGTTGCAGCTGCGCCATGGGAAGGTGAGGAGAGGGGATGGCCATCGCCTTCCTCCCCCCTGCTCCCCCTCCTCCGCCTTACTCCTCCTCCCTCCTCCTCCCCATCCGTCTCTCTCCCTCCTCCTCCTCGCCCGCCTATAGAGCGACGGCGACGACGAGGACGCCGGCGGTGACGATGACTGCGACGGCGAGGGCTGCGGCGGTGACGGCGTCGGCAACGACCACCGCACCTCTCCGCCCTCCGCCCTCCTCCTCCTTCTTCCTCCGCCATGGCGCTGATGGCATTTGGGTCTGACGTGAGAAGCTGCCACGCACTCCCTCCGTCCTCCGCCCTCCGCCTCCTTTTCCTCCTCCTACACTTCCTGCTTCTCCTCCTCCTCCTCCTCCTCCTCCTCCTCCTCCAAAGCAACTCCAAGAAGGACACGGATGGACGGCGGCTGCCTTCAAAGTGCGGGTCATGCCTCAGCACCGCGCACGCCCGCTTGAGCAAATCCACCAGTGACCCACGTGGTGGGGGGGCTGGTCGTTTTCCAACCTGCGGCTCTCGCCGTCACGCCGCACGCACTCGCTGCCCCCGCTGTTGCGCGCCTGGCACCGCACCCCGTGCCGCGACCCCCTCCGCTGCCCGCTGGAGGATGGGGGCGGGGGTCAGCGGAGGGACGGGGGGGCTGACGAGATGATGGACGGAATGACCACTGGAAGGAGGGAAGGAGGGACGGAGCATTGGCGGACGGCTGGTCAGCGGACGGGTGGACCTTGGCGGAACGGAGGACCATGGGCGGACGAATGGCCCGCGGACGGACGGAGGGATCTGGCGGCGGAGGGGCACTTGTCTCCTTATTTTCCGCCTCTTGGGGCCTTCGCCGGGCCCCGCGGCCGTCAGCAAACTGCTGAGGATGAAGAGCCGATCCGGGGACAGTGGTGGGGACCACTACGTTACGAACGAATCACGACTTCGGAAGTGATCGGACGAGGCTTGTGTGCGGCGCGCGCAAGAGGGCGGCGCGATGGGTCAGCGGGGTAGGACGGAGGGACGGGGGGAGGGTCCTTCTTCTCCTCGTTCTTCTCTTCCGCCTCCTTCATATTCCTCTTCTTCTTCTTCTTCTTCTCCTTGCTCCTCTCCTCCTCCTCATGCTTCTCCCTCCTCCGTCTCATCCTCCCTCCTCCTCCATCCTCCCTCCTCCTCACTGCTCCCCCTCCTCCTCCTTTCGCGCGCAGTCCCGCGCCCGCGGGCCCGGACGCGCGGGCACCGGCATGGTCCGTTGTCGTCTTGCCTGTTTGAAAAAAGGATCCGCCATCGTGCCCGCACACCGTTGGCGGTGCGGGCGCAAGAAACCGCCAGAACTTCATCACGGTATTTTGTTTTCAGTTTCCGCTCTCTGGGGTCCCTCATCGAGCCCCTGGGGGGGCTCCAGACCTCCGGGGGGCCACATTGTACACAACAATCGCGACGTCGGATGCCGGGGTGGCGCGAGAGTGGCGGCCTTCTAACCTTCGCAGAAACGCAAAGATACTTCTACGGGGGCTGCTTAGAAGCTGGGGGGGGCTGCCAAGAAACCCCTCGCCTTCTCAGAACGGGTTCCGCCTTCTTAGAAGGCCGCCGATTGCCAGCGCCGCCAAACCGTGCTAGAATGCCAGGTGCTGCCTGGTAGGGCTTTGGTCAATCTTCTGAGCCCCCCCTCCTAGTCGTACCAGCGGGATGTGCATCGTCCCCTTCCCCCAGCTCAACCCTCCCGAACCTCTTGGCCTGTTGCACGGTGGCGCGGAATTTTCCGCAGACACCTGGACAACGTGAAGGACTTTTTTCCAGCGTGATCACCCCGCCAACCGATGGTCCTTCCCCCTGGCTTTGCTTTGGCTCCTCCTTGTCAATCTCGCTGCCTACCCCAGTGGAGTCCACACACTTCCAAGACACTTCCGTGGCGTCGGCCTGTGGCCACAGCAAGGGAGAGCGGGGTACGAGGAGGGAGGGAGGGATGTATGGAGTTGTGGGGGGCCTGGTGGAACGGAGGGAGGGACGGATGGCCGGGAGAGGTGGCGAAAGGCGGACGGGAGGGAACAGATGGCACGGGGAGCGATGGAGGCAGGGGCGGAGGGGATGTGGAGGGAGGCGGGTTCGGTGCAGATCCAACAACTCCGCGCGGTTCGTCATCCGCTCTCCTTCTTTGGTGCGGGCCCATCGGAGTCCCCCGATCGCCGAACGCAATGTGGTTGCAGCGGCTTGCGCGCTTGGGCTCGGCACCCCCTGAAGCCGCGCGCCAAAGGACTCGAGGCATGGGGAGCGCTTTGGGGTGCGGCGGCGGGGATGGGAGGCAGCAGAAGGGGAGGGGCCGAGAGGGACGGGGACGCCGTCGACAGGAGCGCACGGGCTCCGGGTAGTCTGCGTGGTCGCTGCTGCCCTCCTCGGGGCCGCGCGGGCGCGCGCGCGAGGACCCCAGGCTGCGGGAACACCGGGCTTTTTTGAGTACGTGTATATATACACACATGTAGATGTATGTATCTATGTATGTATGTATGCATGCATGCATGTATGTATGTATGCATGCATGTGTGTATGTACCTTTGTATCGCTCGTATACAGAGGGGTGCCAAAAAGGTCCACACGGGATTTAAAGGGCGCGCGTGAGTGATGGCTGGCCAGCCCCTCCTCCGTCGTCTGATGGCTACGCTCAGCAGCTGTACGAATCACATTATACATGTGGTCTGCTCTCTAAATTCCATCTACGGCCTCGGGGGAAGGATCTCCGTTGAGCCCCCGACGAGAGGCGAGACACTCAGGAGGCTGCTCGGGCAAGTGGGTGGGCGCCTTAAGCCGAGCCAGCTCACGAACGCGATGAACCCACTTGGCCCCAGGATTCTACCCTGTGATCTGTGAGCCCGCGGCGGGACCGAGATAGATGCCGAGGTACTCCACATACAGGATTACCGCCATCTGAACCCAAGTAGGAATGCTGGTGGCCAACCAGCTGACCGTGCCGGTGACTAGCTCCTGGGTGTATGAACCACGGAGAGGGATGAGCTCGCATTTGGCGATCTTCAGGCACATGCCAGCCAATGATGCGGCAGCACGGCGTTCTCGCCATATGTGCAAGAGAAGTCGGCGGTCTTGAAGAACAGAGCCGACGTCGTCGGCGCAGTCGCCTAGCGCCGACACGTCGAAGGGAGCAGGGATCTCCTCCAAATCACGAAAAGGTTCATGGCAACTGCCCAGAGCGAGCCTGGCAGCGGGCAGTCCCGGCGATGCCCGCGGAAACGAGCATGAAATGCGACGCGATGTCCTCGATGAGAGCGCGCGCGTTCGGCGTCCAGTACATGCCCATGATGAGGTCGAACATGCCATCTGTGGAGCCAGCGTGCTTCATGGCAGCCCTTAGGAACGAAACAGTGAGCGACGGGAAGGCATTGCCGATGTCGGAGAGCACCGAGGGTGGGCGGCGCCACCCACAGTGACCAAGGAGTCCAACCAGTCGAGCGCGCGCGTCCCGCAGTGTGACGGTGTCCAAGAAGAGGCGCCCAGGCAAGAACCCCCTCTGTGACGTCGGGGAACCCTGCTCGCTGATACCCTCGATCACGGCGTTGGCGCTGGCGGCAAGGAGCTTCGCGTCCGAGTTCTTGAGCGCCGGCGGGCGCGACGTGGCTGCAGTGGGGGTCGGGTCCTGGGGGAGGTCGCCGTCCTCGGTGCCTTTTGGGAAGGAGGCCGTGTGGCGGTCGTTGAGGTCCATCGGAGGAGGCGTTCCCATGGCCATCTCGATGATCCTCAAGGGCACGCGAGTTGCCGCGGCGCCCCAGGCGTCGCGTGGCAGTCAACCAGGGCCTGGAGCCGAAGGTCGAGGACGCTCTGCTGCGCGAGCAAGGTCCCAGGCGTCAGGGAGCCGAGCGCCCTCGAGGCCAAGTGGGGGCAACGGGGCGAGCCTCGAAGTACTTCTGGACCAGCGAGTGCCCTGGCGGGGCAGTTTGAGAGATAGGCGACTAGTAGGTCTTGAACTCAAGTCCGTCTGCGCGTTGACCGCCCTGTCTTTTCCTTCGTCATCTTGCGTGCGGGAGCCCGGCAGCCCGTTTGGGGGAGCTCTCAAGAGACGCTCGACGCCGACGGGCACGGCTCGTGGAGCTATGTAGTGGTGTGCGCCAGAGACTGGGTGCTGGCGCTTCAGCCCGGCCATCTAAATCAGCTTGTCGACGCTCGCTGTAAGGGCCTTGCTCCGCCGTGACCTCGCGCTCGAATGCCTCGGGATCGGCGAGGGATGCAGCAGTGGCGGGTGTGTTCAGATGGCTCGCAGCCAGGGGTGAGGAAGGAACTGAATGGGCAGCCCGCTCCACGCCGTTCCTCCAGACGGCGCGAGCGATGGACCTGCAGATGCTGGCGCGGGCGTCCTTCGCGTGGGCATTGCGAGGGGGCGGCCTATCCCTGCTGCGGAGAGCAGCCTCCTTCATCGGTCGCAAGTGTTCCAAGCGCCTGGGGCGCGGCGGTGGGGGGGGCGCGGCGCGTGCGTGGACAGCAGCACGTATTGCTCAAGGTATTCGGGGTCGCGGAAGATGTGCCGGGGGATGGAGTTAGCCTCCTGTTCCACCCGACGTCGAAAACTGATGGTGACCGCCAGCGGCGCGTGGTCGCTGGGCCTCTTCTCGTGGAGCTTCTCGGGGATGTCCTTGGTGGTGGTCGTGATATGCTCTTGGTTGGTGAGCCCGCTGGGTGACGCCATGGCGGCCCTGTCTACCTGCGTCAACGTGGGAGGAGTCCTCCTGCGTGCTGATGTGCGCGGGGAGCTCGTTGTCGAGCTCGGCCATGTCATCGAAGATGTCCCGCCACCTGCTCTCCAGGGATCGAGAAGCTGAATCCCGCTGCGCGGGGCCTTTGTTGACCTCCAGGGAGTTGAGCAGCATCGGAGGCGCCGACGACGTGGGCGTCTCCAAACGGCAGGATGGCGGCCATCTGCGGCGCAGCGCGCGCAATGAGCGCAGCCGCCTTGCAGCAATGCCGTCCATGTCTGCAGCAGTGAGGCTGGGAGAATGGATGTTGCGAAAAAAAAAACGACTGATGGCGTCGGAGAAGCCGCAGCAGAGCCAGTGCCAGCAGCGTGAAGTCGCTGAGCACGACCAAGAACGAACCCCTCATGAATGTAGGGCACCTCGGTGCGCGTCGTGTTGGGCGAATGCTGGGCAGACAGCAGGATGGCAATGCCACCGGTGTCCCTCCTGTTCCAGAAGGATGTGAACGCTCTAACTCCTAGGTGGTGCCGATGAAGCTCTTGCTGGAATTTGTTTCTCCGCGCCATGGACTTCCTGACTGCGCATGGCTGTGCCGTTGTCAAGGTAGGACTCCACAATTTCCGATCACGAATCTCAGCGTTGTGCTAAACCAAGGCACGCGCCTTCCAGGTGCCGTAGCCAACGCGAGTCCGATGACCAACATGCGCCCTCCAAGGCGCGAAACGATTGTGACGTCGACAAGTGGATCCGTTCAGTGCCGCCGAAGATGTCGTCTGCATGATATCGAATTTGCGTAGACCACATGAAGTTATAACCCTATAGTTCCATTCTAGAACTGTGGGATCCTCACCTGTGGCGCCAACCAACACCTTCATGATGGGCTTGTTGCCATTGCTGATGATGCCTGCGTAGCGGTTGGCGCGCCAGCGGCCCTCCGCACTTGAGGACTTGACGAGCTGCAGGGGACGCTTCGTCTGGATCTCCCTGCGGATGTTCTGGGGTGACTTGTCCAGGCCCGCAATGATGCCGGTGTCTCGATCGTCGACGGACTTGGCAGTGAATCGCCTCCAGTGCCCGTCCTTCTTGTGGTGCCGGAAGGCAGTGGTGACCCGCGTGGCCGCGAGCCCACTGGTGCGTATGATGTGACGGCGACCAGGGGAAGGGCCCTCGATGCTCCAGTTCTCACCGTTGAACCCCGCGCCCTCGAGCCACGGCTGAACGCTTTGGACGAGGGCGTCGTTGGTGACGGCTTCCCTGCAACTGACGATGAAGACGCTATTGTCGGGGAGGCGCGTTCAGTCGCCAATGTGCTGCGCAGGAGCATTCCTCACAAACAGCTAGTGCCTTCTGGAGGTCCTCGATCTGCGAGCGCATCTGCAAGTGGTCGCTCTGCATCTTGGAGATGCTGTGGTCCAGGTCCTTGGTCTGGCCGTCGCTCTGCTCGTTCTTGGCAGCCTGGCGTTCGCCGAACAAGCGGAACGCCACGGAGGTGCTGTTAGTGATGTTCGCGGTGAAGGTGGCGTTCGCCTTCTGAGCGGTGTTGGCGACCTGGTCACGCATGGCGCCCAAGATCGCCTCCAGCTCAGAGTGCAACGCAGGACCATCGGCGCAAGCGGCAGCCCCCGCTGAGGCACCAGGACGTGGCGAGGGCGGAACGCGCCTGGGACGGCCATTGCGCGGGATTGCATGGAAATCTGCGACCGGAGCAGGGGAAACCTCACGCTCATTGCTAGGGATCACCACCATCATGGGAAGGATCTGGACCGTTGTCCCTGTTACGATCATCTGGCACTCGCGCCTCCTGCAAACAAGAGCCATGGCGTGAAGCATTATTTTTGCCAGCACGCCTGTAAGAAAAACCATCGGGCATTCCCGCCGCAGGAATGTACCGCGAGGGGAATGTGGTGAATGGCAAGGTTGTGAGAGCTGAAACTTCAATTCGAAATATGGCAGGATATCGTGTGCAGGAAATTGGGTATCCTGAGCACCGCGGGGTCGCCCAACCCTGTATTCGGTGTGGGCCGCGACTGCCGCGTGCAAGGCCTGAACGAAACACTCCGGAATTGAGCCAAATTGGCTACGGATATGCCTATACGTACGTGTGTACGTGCGTACGTACGTATGTATACATCATGCATTCATGCATGCATGCGTGCATGTATGTACGTATATATGTTTGTGTGCGTATTTATATGTATGTGTATGTATGTGTGTGTATGTATGTATGTACGTACGTACGTAGGTACGTGTGTCTGTCTGTCTGTCTGTCTGTCTGCCTGCCTGCCTGCCTGCCTGTCTGTCTGTCTGTCTCTGTATGTATGTATGTATGTATGTATGTATGTATGTATGTATGTGTGTTCCTTTTTGGTAATTCCTCTTTTTTTGTTCATCGCTCCGCGCCTTGCAAGGTCCTGGGAAACCCCAGGTCCTGGGAGGCCCCTGGGAGGCTCCCGGGAGGCTCCCAGGAGGCCTCTTCCCCTGCACCCTCCGCCGCACTCACCCCTCCATCCTTGTGTTGCTCCATTTTTCTCCTCCTCCCTCCCTCCATCCTTCTCTTTTTTTTTTTTTTTTTTTTTCTCTCTCTCTCTCTCTTTCTCTCCCTCCCTCCCTCTCTTTCCCTCGACTCATGAAAGCAAGTCGTCAAACTAAGCTAATGAGGTGTGCACCAAAGCCGCGCACGTTCTGCTGACAAAATC